GCATAGTAGATGTAATGAATGCAGTTCTTTTAACATATAAATATATTTAGAGAGTTTACATAGTTTGTAAGCAACATATGATATATGTATGCATATGTATGTACGTACTGTGTAAGTTTTATATGCACATGTGACATATAAAACATATATATATATATCGAGCCAGAGAGAGATTCGGCCGACAGGATTCGAAGTGTCCCTTGGCAGACGTCGATCGCTCTCGAGTGTTTCCCACGGTTTGCAATGAGTGGTTCTGTAAGTTTCAGGCGTGTTAGTGTCAGAAGGGCTCTGCAGGCCTTACTTTAAGGCTTTATGATGTTTCCACAAAGGTTCTATAAGGCTCCTTCAAGGGTTCTTACAAAGGGTCTATAAAGTCAAGATGTTGAGCCAAGTTTCGAAGTCAGGCCGCCCGAAGTTTGAAATCAGATACTCCAAAATCATTTAGTCAAGCAATAACCTAATCTTGCAGAGGGTCCTTAATGTGATGTGCAGCATATTGCTTTATCGAGGGGTTGTGGAGTCTTTGAATGGGCGGCAACCTGAGTAGAAGCATTTCACGCTTGCCGGGTTTGCTAGTGATACTCTTCGGCGAGATTGTCAGATGCGGATGCTTAAAGTGTGTGCAGAAAAATTTTGGCTTTTGTGATTTGGGGTTTACACAGGCGACCTGAAACACTTCAGCGTGTGTATTTGTGCATATGGATAGTGAGTGATAAGAAGACAGACCGCCTATTCTGGAATCTGAAAATTGCAACCTTCAAAACGCTGAAGTTTCGGCACTCCGCTGACAATTTTCGACCGAACACAGCTTGATGCTACTTGACATTGGCAAAAGGATGACCCGGCACTAAGGCTCAGCCAGTGACTTAGCTGCGTTTCAAGATCGGTCTGGGCGTGTTTCGGCCGGTGATTGGGGTGAGCCTCCTACCTGACGTTGTGGCCTTCTGAATTTGGAGTGTTTCGAGCGGGGCTAAGAATCGGGATTTGGCATTTTCGACCGAAGCTTCAATGCCAAATTGGAGAACGGAAATGCTACTCCATTTCCGGGTCTCGCTGCTCATTCCACGCTGCCAAAGGGTTTCACGGGACCTTCAACAAATCGGGTACCCACCTGTTTTAAGTTCTTATGTCTGTATATATACCATGAACCTGTAAACACTCGAAAGATCCTTTATATGCACCCAAAGAACAATTAGCAACCGCTCGTTGGATTCTCAGGTATACCTGGGCCTACGACTTGTTCACAGACGCACCAATCCCCGAGCTGGAGGTTCGATGTAATCCATTAGGCTCCGATAGGGGTTTAGGGTTTAGGGTTTAGGGTTTAGGGTTCCTATCCATAAGGATGCATGGTGATTAAAGCGTACATAGGAGCTTTGTTCATTGGGTATTGTGGTATACTGTGTACGTAATGGTGGTATACTTAAGCCAGCGTGCACCACAGCCGGAAATCATGACGGCTAAGTATTTATTCAGACTACTACATCAAGTAAATCTTTGAGGGCACGGCCTTAAAGGTGAAAGTTAGCGGCCCAGGGTGTGAGGTTCTTAGGCCCTGGGATGCCTTGACATTCAACGATTCCAACTTTGTCGGGTTGAGGGTATTGGTTGCACAGTTGTGGCAGAGATGCGTTTTCATGATGTTGTGATGGAAGAAGGCCTATGTGGCCTATGTCTGAAATTTGACAGGATCCGACAAATATGCATCTTGTATTTCAATATTCAAACTAGAAATCATGCATATACACACATGTATACGCAAAGACACAAGATTTTGCCGTCTGTGTGTGTTTCTGTGCGCATCGTCTTATGCGGTTTTTCTCTGCTGCTTTAGGCTTGCCCGATGCTGCCGACAGAACAGAGGCGTCTTATGTCCTTTCGCAAAGCACATTGGTTAAACCCTACACCCCTAAACCCTAAACCCCTAAACCCCAAACCCCTAAAACCCTAAACCCTTAACCCTAAACCCCTAAACCAATTGGATGTGTGCCATGAGCTCCTCCGTTGACTCTGACAAGGATTCGCTATGATAAAGATTCACAGCTGCTTCCAAACACGCTCACCGTTCATCCACGTTGATTGGATAGAACTATACGAACCAACGCCGCGGTAAGTTTGGATGAAGTTCAACGACATTCCTATAAGCTGCACCTCCCCATGGTATCATAGACCCACCTCCTTGACTCGCACTTTGGCCCAAGACGAAAGCCCCGCATCGCAAGAAAGCCCCCTGGCCCTTGCCTCCGGGGTTGTCATGTGGAGCACTTTAGAAAAGGCCCTAAAAAACTACTACTACTACTACTACTACTACGATTTAGGGTTTAGGCTTTTGGTTGGGTTTCCCAAACCCTAAACACCTTCTGCAGGGCTACCAGGGCACTGTCCGCGATGGTGAGCTCCTCTACATGCCCGGGGTCTGCGACTCAGCCGGTGTCAAACTCGGTCTCTAGAAGTATCCTTTAACAACGGAAGTCTGGAGTTGTAGGGTTTAGGGCCTATAGGGTTTAGGGCTTTAGAGTTCTAGGGTTCAGGGTTGCGGGCTTTAGTGGTGGGATCTGGTATCCAGTGGGATCTTTGTGATTGTGCCGATGTCCTGTGTTTCGAGTGGTAGTGGCATGTTATAGCAACGTCTGGTAATTCTGGACACATGCCTCAAAACTCTTCTCGGCCAAAACCCTGGCACCCCAACACTCTTGTAAGCCCACGAGCCTAAGACTTATAAAACCTCAAAGGACATCATAAAACCCTTATGAACCTTATGAATAACAAACGAAACCCATATTCAAGCCCTTCAACAATATTCGAAACAGCTTTGTGGAGCCTACTCCTGACCACAGGACATGCTCCACCACCTTCGAAACTCCTGCAGGTCCAAGATCCGGTGTCAAATTCTCCATGGCTCTTAGAGTGTACAGTAGGGGCTGTATGATGATGGGGTTTTATGGGATTGTACAGGGTTTGTACGCGGCTTTATACTGCTTTACAGACATTGAAGGGTTTTACAGGGGTCCGAACAAGCAGCAACTGTGTTGCCTTTGGCAGGGTTTCATACAGGCCTTAGCTGCTGATGTTTCAGAGGCTTTCGCACAGGGGGCTATAACGCCAAGGTTGCACAAGGTTGCCCCCTAAACCCTAAACCGGGGCCTCATACGCTTTATTCTGTTTTGGATTGATTGCCAAGGGCCTTTTAGCTCGATGTTAAAAGTGACGTAATCTGTCGGAGATCCTAGGGTTTAGGGTTTAGGGACCGTAATTTCGATAAGCACCTGGACCTGGACGCAGGAAGGGTTGGGGAAGTGTAGCGCTTTGGGTGTTTGGCCTGGATTTTTGGACCTGGCGTCAGTGTGGAGGGAAAAGGCAGTGACGAACTGCGCTTCTATGAGTGGTTGTGTTATTGTCATGCTGTGCAAACCCACAAGATTTGAACACCTCCAAGACCCTGCCAGACCCAATAGCATCCGGATAGCAAGCTCCATAACATCCGACAAAGCTTCAAAAAACAACCCTCCCAAACCGTATTTCTAGATCCTCACCACCTTAATCCCGAGAAAGCATGTAATTATAAATTAGTATCTGTTGAGGCCACCGCTCCTCTTTGCTAGGCACAGTGTCACCATCTGCCGAAGACCGTGGCGCGCATCCGTGGCCCGAAACATCTTCTTGGAGCCACTGGGAGAGAACTGGCACCCTCTCTAGGGGTTCTACGATTTTTTCAGAACAAGGCTCTGCGGGGGCTCTCAAGGGTTGAAGGTTGATCCTTGGCTTTTTTTTTGAAGTTCACCTCGGGTTCGGGGTTTAGAGGTGCGCTGTGGAAAGCTTGCTAGGGAACTGTTAGGGTTCAGGTTTAGTTTGGTTTAGTCAGGATTTAGGCAATGAGTTCTTATTGGTATTGTAAAGACGGGATGTCAGAGGGCGTGTTTCTTACAAGAGTTCTGAAGTCCTTGTCGGTCCCGTTTACACCCTTGCCAATGTTGCAGTCGGAACAGCAGTAACAGCATCCTTTAAATAGACCTACTTTAGTTCGTAGGTTTTCGAATGGATGTGAAATCTTGGCAGCTTGATGGGCAAGTAGGTGATTCGAACATGGGCCTGAAGAGGTATGGTACATACATGCATGCATACCTTTACCTTACCTGACCTTATGTTACATTTCATTACATGACATTACATAACATTACATAACTTTTCATAATAGAGCATTACATACCATTGCATAACATTACATAACATCACATAACATTACAAAACATTACATAACATTGCTTAACATTGCATAACAATGCATAACATCACATAACATTGCACAGCATTACATAACATTGCATAACGTTGCATAACATTACATAACATTGCATAACGCTACATAACATTACACAACAGTACACAACATTACATAACATTACACACCATTACATATGTACATACATACATACCTACATACATACATACATACGTACATGCATACATACATACATACATGCATGCATGCATGCATGCATGCATGCATGCGTACGTACATACATACATACATATATTCATTCATTCATTCATTCATTCATTCATTTCATTCATTCATTCATTCATTCATACATACATACAACATACCAACATACATACATACATACATACATACATACATACATACACGCATATATGCATCTATCCATCCATCCATCCATCCATACATACATACATGCATACATGCATACATACATATATACGTACATACATACCTACATACATACATACATACATACATACATACATACATTACTACATACATACATTATTACTTATTACATACTTACATGCATACATACATAAAAAACATACATACATAAACATGCATTGCATCGCATTGCATTGCATTGCATTGCATAATCACACACATCGCGTAGCTGACTTGGTACACATATGTATACTATACTGCAAGACATGTGACAACTTCACCCGCATCGACTGCCCACAGACCCTTAGTCCCACATCCTGGGATAGGCTGCCTTGCTCACACTTGACACGCCATCGATGTGGAGCAGCTCCTCTCATGGAAGCCACTGGATTTAGGGTAATATAGGGGCCTGACTGTTTAGAATAGGGCTTTGGGCTTTCCTATACTCTGCTTTTAATAAGGAACCCCAAAAAGAGCATTGGCAATTCTTTCACGCACCCTAGACAAACTCTAAGCCCTTCGAGCCTGGGTGCCGAAGAGTCGACGGCTTAGGGCCTAGGGTTCAGGCTTCGAGGTTTCCCCTTCTGAAAGCAAAGTTTTTTAAGGTTTGGGAAGTTGATGGCCAGCCTTAGAACAAAGCCCATTGAAACACCAAACACACATGATCAGCCGTTCCAGACACCTGCTAGCAGAAGCGCTGCATGTCACTCATTGAAGCTCATGATTTTGTGTGCTGAACTTCCGAAGCGAGGCGGCTGGAAGACGACTGGACTCTGAAATGCGCATTCCTTCTCACCATCTTGTGGCACCAGATGTTACGAACATCATCACCGCTATCGGTGTTTAGGGTATGTAGAAATGTGCAGCAAGCAGAAAAGCTTTCCTACGGTTGATGATATACATCCTGCATTACCCAGAATAAGGAATACACCATAATTCCCTATAGTTTAGGGTTCTTAAGGTAATGCAGGATTTATATCATCAACAGTATCTCCATGGTTTGGCCCCGGATGCCTCCAGGAGACTTGGGCAAAACCCTCTGCACGATGACACCGCGCTTGCCATTGTGCTTCGGTGCCGACACTAGACCTGCTTGGATTAGAATTAGGGTTTAGGGTTTAGGGTTTAGGGTTTACGGTTTAGGGCTTCGATGTAAGTTGGGGGCCCTAAAAATTTGAATGGGGCTTTTTCGGCTGGATCTACACAAGCAAGGACGATAAGGGCTTACGGGTACGACTTGTTCGGACAACTATATGCATTAGAGTCCAGGCGTCTAGGCATCGGCCTCAATAATGCGCAAACACTGGCCCTCCATGGATCACCCCCCCCGAAGGGCTCTGTGAAACACCGGAAACGGTCTGAAGCAAAGGCGTGCGTATCGATTACATAGTACATGTTTTGATCCCGAAGTACATACACGGGATCCCTTCGAGCAAAGTTTAAACCACATGAATACATGGACCTCTTGTGATAGGCCCCGCTCACCAACTTCCCCTTCCACCCTGTAGTGTTGACCCGAGCTCTCGAATCCTTGCACTGTTATAGGGTTGGCCCTAGTTACATGGTTTAGGGTTTAGGGATTTAGGGTTTAGGGTGGGATGTGTTCACAAACATCCGCTGCAATTTGCGTCTGACCAGTTGCTGACACATAACAACCCCCTAAATGGCGCCTACAAGGAAACTTCGAAACTTCTGGCTCCTCCGCGACAGGTCTTATGAAGAGCTGCGCCATCCCAAACGTCTCGCGTATCCTAGTACTTTTGGTTTAGAGTGCAAAAAACCGGAATATGGTGCCTCTAGATACAGACATCCCAGTTCACTCGAAGGCTTCAAACCACAAGTAAAAGCCCTGAGCAAATCAAGCGACGCGCATCAGGGGCCCCCGGTAAGACGAGTGACTGAAGCGGCTTGCAGGTCGGAAACGTTCCACAAGTCAACGAAGAAAAAGCTGAGAACAACGAGACGACCAGCTAGACAGGAGGCCGGTGTCCAGAAATCTCTGTAGAATCGTGGCCCAACATGTAAATGTCCGTGATTCTAGCACGTTCGCAAAGTTGCAGCACAACCCTGAACCCTAAACCCCAAACCCTAAACCCTTAACCCTTAATTAACCCCTAAACCCAAGCCTATCATTTCAACCGAAAAGGACCGCCTTGGATCTCCACCTCGTCCCCAAGCTCCAGATTCATCTCACCCAAGTTTTGTGGGGCGGATTCTCGGGCTGCCGATGCCTCAAGAAAGCTGACTGGTCTCTAAAACCACAAAGCATCCCTGTTTATCAAAACGGGCGTCCTAAAGTACCCTAAACCCTAAACCCTAAACCCTTCGTTACGGTCTAGAGACCCGCTGCTCAAGTCGAGATGGCATCTATTCAGGGTAGCCTTTGGCGGCAGTTCTGGTGCCACTCCGGGTCTTCCTGTAGTCTCTAGAGGCAGGTATACGGTTTAGGGTAAGTTTAGGGTTTATAGGGTTTAGGGTTTATAGGGTTTAGGGTTTAGGGTTTAGGGTTTAGGGTTTATAGGGTGAGGAAGGAAAAATGTAATGAGGAACCGTCGGAGCACAAGCACAAGTCGGGTTTCTCACCGTGGAAGAAGCAAGAATCTTCTAACATCTCTTTGAAGAGTAATAGTACGGGGGCTACACAACTAGCATCTCTGGTTGGGAGCGTCCCTCCCAACCACAACTGCTGGAAAGGTAGAACGGTGAAAACTAATGCCAATACGAGCACGAACATGTCGCAGCAGGTGTACTAAGAGTCATGTGAGGCGTAAGAGTCTAAGTCAGGGCAATAAACAATAGCAAACAGAACGGTGCTCAGTGTGTTGTGCGCAAGAGCAGTGGCAAAGCAACAAGTTGCACGTCTCAATTCGCAATGCTGATACATCCCTTCACCCATCTCATGGAATCTAAGATTATAGCAATCGCTAACGAAGCCCGGGGTTTTGAACTCGCACCCTCAGGGTCTGGGTCGGGGCTTTGAGCTGTTTGGGCTTTGATGGTGGAGGTTGAGGGAATGCGATTATAAATTAAGGACGATTTCGTACAAGCACCCTAACTCCCAAACGGACGATGACCCTCTATGCTCTTGTTGTGGTGACTTCACATAAGGAGGAGAAGCACAAAAGGCGACACTAGTCTCCAAAGCCTCCCATGAAATCTAAACACAAAGCACGCCTAGACCCCGAAACCTCAACCCTCCGAAGCTCCACGCCCCAGCCCTACATCGAAATGCAGTGCCGACTATGGCCTCGGGCTTCTTGAAGCCCACCAGCATCAGACGACCGCGCGCCACGCGCATCGGCACTTTGACGGCCACCTTTGCAAGGAGGTGCGATCCAAGACATGGGAGTTCGGTGTAGTGCTGCGAGGTTAGGGGTCTTGAGATGCTTGCTGTGACTGAGCCTTGCTTTGCATGGGATAGGATTGCCAGTCGAGTCATTGTCTGTATAGTTGTTCATCTGCTAGGTCTAGGTCATGGCAGAGCTGCCGCTGCTGTTGTTGCTGCTGTGGAGGTTGTTGCAGACTGTACATGTCTTTACCATCGATCTGGTTGCTGCTGGTTGCTGCCTCCTTTGCCCCAAACCTATCCCCTGAGGCTCCGGGAAAGCAAACAGTCGAGGCACAAAGCGGGTGTGTTTGCACCAAGAAGTTGAGTCCGGACACGACAAAACTAAAGGCCGCGACCATTCTTTTCAGCCCCGCCTCCCACCGACCGCGCTCGTTGGGGCAGCTCGAGAGAACGACACCTGCACCGTCACTGCGGACATCCACTAGGACCAAGCCCCTGGGAAGGTCCGCTGAACCGAGCACCATAACCCCGACTCAACATTTAGCCGGAACAACCTACTGCGCAAAACCCTATAAATATAAACCCTCAACCTTCTACAATCTAAACCTGCTACAGCCCAAGCCCCAAACCTTGAACCCAAAACGTTAAAGCCCTAAGCCGCAGAACTCTACGCCCTAGACTCTAAACATCCCTAAGCCCCGTGAACAGACCCTTCCAAGCACCGGGAAAGGAACCCGTAAAGGAACCCTTAAAACCTTACAGAACAAAGTCTGCTATTGGGGGGGCCGTAAACCTAAACCCTTAAAGGAAAAAGCCTGCTCTCTGGGGCCCTAAACTCTAATCCGTTAAAGAAAAAGTCTGCTCGTTGGGGCCCCTCACAACGGGCGTGCTGCCTGATAGGCCGTTGTAGGCCGCACCGGCCCGGAGCTGGCAAAGCCTGGCCAGGCCGGATGCTATCATGACTGGTATCCTTGGTTTACCCTTGGTTTACCATAGGCCCCTCAGCAGTTCCTTTTTGGGACTACCTTAAAGGATTCTAAATGTAAAGCATAAAACGGAACTACTTAGGGGCCCATGGGTAGGGCTTGGGGTTTAGGGCTCAGGGTATAGACTGGTATCATTACCAGAACTCTGGCAGCAGCAGCAGCAGCAGCAGTTGTTGTTGTTGTGCTGAGTGGTGGTGGTGGTGGTGGTGGTGGTAATGGTGGTGGTGGTGGTGGTGTTGGTGGTGGTGGTGGTGGTGGTGGTCGCAGTCGTAGTAATCAGAATCTTCGAGGTCGAGAGATCAAAGGGGTCGTAAAACTCCAGACCCTGCAAAGCCGCAAGCGTCATTCTCAATCTCACTCAAACCCTAGGGCTCCAAGTATACAAATAGTACCGACTTTGGGGTCTAACGTCTGTAAATGGTACCTACTTTGGGCTATTTGGAGCCCCAGGGAAACTTCCAAGCTTCCCCCTTATAGCCGCCTCACAGCGCAAACCTACAAACTGGCAGGCTGTGACCCGCTAACAATTGGAGCCAAGCTTTGGATTTAAAAACTCAACAACCCTGAGCCCTAAACCCTATACTATACTCATGGATGAGAATCAGAAACCACAATCCACCTTACTCAATCGTCTTAGGGCTGCGGGTCGGCCTCAGGGTTAGCATTTAGAGTTCAAAGGTGTTGCAAGAAACCTACAGCTCTGTGCTCCTCTACCAGGCCGCAAGATCTACAGTCAACCTTAGGCAACTTAATGCTTCCATAAGAAGGAACATCGGGTCTATACGGGTCCGACTGGGGTCCTCATGAAGGAGAGCCCCGTCGTGCTCCCTTTAGTACTGTGATGTATTATGTGTTTCCTCCCTCCCTTCTACCCATAGGCTCCTAAGTAGTTCCTGTTTGTGGTTCATATTTAGAATCCTATAAGGTAATCCCGAAAACGAACTACTTAGGAGCCTATAGGTATTTTTGATCCCCGACGCAAAGCGTGCCGAAGCAGCTCCACTGCCACACCCCTCACCAAGGGCAGGGGACCTCCGGAGAGCTCAGAGCGATGGGCCCCAAATCTTCACTCCGAAAGGCCTGCAGCAAAAAGAACACCGACACGCAAACTCCACCGAGACCCCGAACTGTGCTGTTTTTGCCTTGTGTTCGCTATTTCTGCTTTGGTCATCAGGTACGGGGGAAGGCAGTGCGCTCGGCGTGTTTTTCTCCAACCTCTTACCTACTCAGTACTTCACTACTAAGTAAGTGTCTGGAAGGGCTCTGTGTTTGGTTAGGGTTGAGTTTAGGCTGGGTTTTGGCAGTTCAGGCTCATGTTTAGGTTGTGGGCCTCAACGCAGTATTGCTTGTGCCTGTTTCAACCGGTCCTCATGCTTTCGGACTCTTGAACCCTATAAGGTTACGATAAAGCCTCTCAGCCGTACACCCAAAGCTTACGGTGTGAACCTCAAGCGCCACAGCAAATCTCAGCCCCAAAGCCCCAAGCCTAAGCCCCAAGCATCCCTAAACCGTACAGATTGCATAAGCCCTTGGCCCTAAACTGTATAAGCACTTTGTAGCGATTCTTTGAACCCGTCTAGACCCCCTTAGAGGAAGCCTTCTAGGAACTCTGCAATCTGCAAGACGCCCCAAGGTGATAATGTAGCCCTTGTTGCAGCCATGGCTGCGGGAAGGCATCGGTAGATCTTCGAAGCCTTGGCGCAAGGGCTTTGCCGTTTAGAGTGTTGGGTTTATACGGCTTTCGGGTGTAGGGTTTGGCGTGCTTCCTTGTCTGCTTGAAATGAGGGCTCAAGTGTGGTCAGCTAAGGGGCTCTAGGATGACATGTGGCGGTTCGTTTGAAGGTTTACGGATGGAGTTGGAGGCCTAGGGGGCAGGGATTAGGGCTTCGGGTAGCAATGCTTTATCTATAGTAAAACGTGAGGTGAGTAGCCGTCTCGAGTGGTCACCTAGGAGAGCGACACAGATCTTCTAAGGGTATAGGGTCAAAAGGTGGGAAGTTTTTTTAATGACACCCCAAAACCTCACAGGGCAACCCACCCTGAACTCTAAATCCCCATACACTCAACCTTACACTCAACCCTTAAATCTAAGGGTTCAAACACCTGAGCCTACCATCCTAAAGACTGCAAGCCGTGGACCGGAATTCACTTTAGGGTTTAAGTTTGTTTTTGAGGGCCTTTTTCTGCAGCTGTTGTCCACAGAGAGCCCAAGGGGGCAGGCAGGTACCAGGCTCAATTAGCCTCCACCAACTCCTTCGGACCCGGCACAAACCCTTCATAGGGTTTAGGGTTTAGGGTTCAGGGATATAGAGTCCAGGCCGAATTCCCCCCCAAGCCGCCAATGTGGGCATGACTTAAAACACAGAGGAACCCTCGGGATCCTAAAGCCCAACAACCAGCCATGTAAACCCCAGATCTTGTTGCATGGGCAGTTCTCTAAAATAGGGTCCCTTTTTACGTCCCCAATATAGTACGGCACCCTGATACAAGGACCCCAAAAGGGACCCTAATGTAGAGAACTAACCACATAGACTCCCGAATCTTGGAGGCCTTACTCCAGGGGCCGAACACCTTTGCCCAAAAAAGGTTAACCCTTTGAATTAGATCAGGTTTATATAAGCTCAAAAGGTTACCTACTCAGCCCCTAAGTCTCTAAACCCTTAACCCTAAACCCCAAACCCTAAACCCCAAACCCTAAACCCATTTGGTGGTCCAGGGGGCCGGGTAGCCTCCTCTCGCGGAGATTGGCCGGCAGCAAAGCGAGGGTCTTGTGGATCTGGCTCAGGTCTTTAATGTTTAGGGTTTAGGGTTTGGTCGTCCAGGTTTAGGGTTTAGGGTTTAGGGTTGTGGAAACGTTATGGTCTTGAGGGCTTCAGTGTGGTTTGGGGGGTTTAGGCTTGTGGCGTTTGGAGTCCAGGGTGTTTGGTGGCTTTGGGGTTTGGAGATTTTTGTTGCTTCTCACACTCGAAGTCTTTGCAACAGAGGCTCGCAGAGGTCTAAACCTGCATAAAGCTGTAATCTCTACAAGCTCTACACCCTAAAGCCCCTAAACCGTCTGCCCAATGGCCTAAGGTTGCAGATATGAGCTACAGAAGCCGATCAAGACGCCTCGTAGCATGCAACATCAACCCCCAGCGACCCCCGAGAGGAAAAGAACAAACCTGAACGCATGTAGGGGCCTGAATAATGAGAATAGGGCTTAATTATAGATCATAAGAAACCACAAAATGGGATTGGTGATGGTTGAGACCCGACCATCAGCCTCCCCCAGCCGAACACCCCAAATTCCAGACACCAACTCGAGCGCTGCAAAAATGGGGGTTTCCGAAAATAGGGGACCCTAATATAGTACCCTAAATAGTAAGATCCTTATTATAAGGACCCCCAAAATAAGGTACGCATGATTCTCGGAAAGTCCCAAATCCCTCAGAGCCTCCACCAGCCAAAGACCAGAGGCCCGATCTGGCCGCTCCGCGGCGACCAACCCGGCCTCCTGCCGCGCTTTTTGGGTTCAGGGTTTCGGCTACCCATAAGCCCCTAAGTAGTTCCTTTTGGGGATTACCTTGTAGGATTCTAAATATAAACTACCAAAAGGAACTACTTAGGGGCCTATGGGTAATGGGTCTCAGGGTGAAGTGCAAAGAACAGCGAAACTAGAGCTAGTTCCAGGTACATACATCGGTGCTTTTCTTTCTATACTTTGTTCTACATGCTCACACAGTAACAGTCCAGAAGTCTGGGAGGTGCGGGGTGTTGAGTAGGGGATGTAGTGCTGTTCCTAATGGAATATGCTTGGGCTCTTCGGACTCAGTGGTGTCAAGCTTCGCAAGCTTAGTTTTTTAGAGACAGGCGGGTTTCTGTGAAAGTTGTCTTCGGGGTTGAAAGTAGGGGTCAACCGTGTATGAACTTGATCCCTTGATGAAATCTCTCTTGCGGGCCTGCCAAACTAAAATTTCAACACCCAGGCACAGGTGGGCGCGGCTCCTCCTTGGCCTCATCGCTGTCGACGCCAATCGTGACAGGAGCACCCTGCCAAAAGAGGCGCTGACCCGGAACTCTGACGATATGCCTCAGATTGCTAGAGAGTAGATCGAGCACAGTGAGCCACATAGTGGGAGGGGCTGGCAGGAGAAGTGAACAGTTAACAAAACGAACGGCACGTGACGACTAATGCTACCAGAGCAGGCACCAGCACCGACATCGTACGTCTGACTGAAATCGCATAACATCCGGTTCGAAGGTCTATACCTCCTAAACCCGATCCTTGAGCCCTTAACCCCCGACTCACGACGTCCGACCCAGACCCAAACGACGACACACACACACACATAGAGCCCAAGAGTCGTGGATCCCTTTCGCGTGGTCTCCACCTTGGGGGTTCTGGTTGGAGGGGGCAGTGTCAAGGGCATCAAAACTGAACGGCTTGCTAGTAGGCTCTTCTTACACGTATGAACTTGTTGCAGCGGGGTTAGACTGCCTGGATCTTGACCCTGACATTAGCAAACATCTCCAGAAGGTTCTTTCAGGTCTCGCAGCCGGTTGTAGCAATTTCGCCTTTCTGCAGAAAGTGGGCTGGAAAAGGAGGACGGCTCTACATCTCTGAATCCATTACCTGCTGCTGCGGCCATCCGACATCTTCACTCTACCGGATTCGGATTGCGCATTTCGGCTTACAGGGCCTAGGGTTCTCGCATTTTCTCATCCTCCCTAAACCCTAAACCCTAATGTGGTCTTCGGGCTTAGGGTGCTCGCATTTTTCTCATCCTCCGGGCCTCCCAGCAGCCCTTCTCATCCGGTCCATCCGAAGTGATGGTGCCAGGTGCGCCGTCGTAGCGGACTTCTTCAGCAGTCTCCTCAGCCTGGCTGGGGCTACTGTAGGGGCTTATAGGGTTTTGGGGTATATTATAATTCTACTGTAATTATAATAAGGAGCAGGGTTTAGTGTTTAGGGTTTTGAGTACTCCAGGTATCCTGTACTCTTGTATCCTGAGGAGCTAGGGTTCAGCGGCAATGGGCACGAGGCCGTTGCAGTTTGTAGTTTCTGTAGCGCTTCGGAGTTTTATTCCGTCGTTGAAACCCCAATCCCAAAGCCATCAAAAAAAAGAAGCGCATCGTAGGGTTGATGATACAGCAGCGACATTCATGTTGACAAAACCAGGGTCCAGAAAGTCCCCAAGGCAAACAAGAGAAGACATGAACAACGCAACGTGGTTCATCAAATCCTAAACCCTGCAGCCCTAGACGAGCCTCCTCAATGACTTGAACCCCCCCCCCCCCCNNAATGCCTACAGTAGAAGCCCAAAAGTTGGAAACCCAATAGCCTCAATCCTTAAGAGTAGTGTATAAGGAATCCCAGCACTATTTGTCCTTAATCCGGTTTCCAACTTTTTGGGGTTTACTATAAACCCTCAAGACCTGAACTCCGACAAACCCCTTTTACATGAACGCAAAAAGATGGGACCTTCACAGAACCCTTAAAACCCCAGGAAAAAGCCCCTGCCTCACCTGCTCAGCCTTGTTGGCCGAAGCTTTCGGAACCCGCCGCGCCACTTTGGGCATCTCCTCCTTCTTGATGCTGACCTCAGTGGATTTAGGTTTTCTGGCTTAGGATTTAAAGCTTTTTGTGTAGGGCTTTCCCCAGGGTCTTGAAAGGTTGTTCTGTGCTTTTGTTGCCGGGGTTTTGTAGGGTTTTGTAGTTGGGGCTTTGGGATGTTAGGATTTCAAGCAACAGGGTGTTTGCAGAGACTTATCCATGCGCCCGGCTCGGCTTTGCTCTGTTCTCTGAGGTTTCCCTGAACCCGCAACCCTAAACTCTAGACTCTAAATCCCTAAATACGAGGGTTCAAGCAAGGAAGGAACTTCATGGAATTGAGATGAGTTGAATTCAGAGCCTCTATGTAGTTTGCAGATTCGAGATTTAGGGGCTGGAAGTTGAAGCTTCCCTTCAGCCATAGGCCCCTAAGTAGTTCCTTTTTATGGTTTACATTTAGAATCCTATAAGGTAATCCCAAAAAGGAACTACTTAGGGGCCTATGGGTAGCCTGGAAGGTACTAGCATGGTTTGGAGGTTCTACGTGGACGTCTTCTTCGGCTTAGGGTTTGGGGACTGCACGTGTTCTCTCGGTCGTCACTGAAGTGTAAGTGACATGGACAAGCGGCTGAGCAACAGTATCAGCCTCTTAGCAATACTAGCAGTACCAGTACTATGTAATACGGGCATTGGTAACACATCCGTTTACATCACTAGAGATTACTGAACCCCACAGGTCAGCTACAGCCCCAAACCTTCTCCTCAGCTCTGCGTTTGTGTTCAAGCATGCAATATCAGATGTTGTGGAGCCTGGGGTGTGGAATGCAAGTCCGGTGAAGGCAAACATGTCATCGAACATGCTGTTAGGACTGACTTACCTCGGCAGCCCAAGTCCCAGCGGTGAAACTCGCAATGCCAACCATGTGCCAAGCCTGACAGGTACCACGCTGGAAAACCGAAGCCCAAAACCCTGAACCCTCAACCAACCCAAACCCTAAACCCCCTAAACCCTAAACCCTAAACCCCTAAACCCTCAATTCTGCTCTAGGGCCCTATACCAGCCCAATGAGCTTGGCTGCCACGACGACTTCCGCCTCGGCATCTGCGCTGGGTAAGTTGAGTACCTCTCAGGAGCGCGTGGTGGGATGTTGGTTTAGGGTTTAGGGTTTAGGGGTTTAGGGTTTTAGGGTTTAGGGTTTAGGGTTTAGGGTCTAGGGGGCGATGGGTGGGTGTATGTGGAGGGAGCATGGCCATGGCTGCGGTTCACGAGCACGGAGCACACGCTCAAGAGACCCATGCAGCAAAATTTTCGCTGGTGGAGCGAAGCATCGCAGCAAAGCCGCCCTATAAACTCAAAAAACCTTCACGTCGACACATTGGCGGCGGGAGCACTACTCGTAGTTCTCGATGCAGCGCCACTGGCCTGAGACAAGAGTTTAGGTGCCCTGCAGGGCATTCAGGTTGGAGACCAATCGGGGCACCATATGTGGGGTTTTGGGGGGGAACTGTATTTAAGGGCCCGATTAAGACAGAACCTTCGATTTAGGATCGGGCATTTTCTGAATTCCCGTTCAGGTTTCGGTGTTTGGGCACCCGAAGACATTTCTGAAACCCCAAACTACCGAAACTGTCTGAGTCCAAGGCTGAGGCCATGGTTTAGGGTTAGGGTTCAGGCACAACACACAACATCAGCTTCGACACTCACTATCTTGATACAACTGCAGTACTTAAGGAAGCAAAACGGTTTAGGGTTTAGGCTACATTCCAACTAGTTTAGTTGGAATGAAACCTAAACCCAAAACCCTAAACCTAAACCCAAAACCTAAACCCAAAACCCTAAACCTAAACCTAAACCCAAAACCCTAAACCGTTTTGCTTCTTGAGCTTGCCCCATGTATCAAGACTCCGAAGTCCCGGGCCTCCGCCTTACAATTCTCCACGCGCCGTAAATTAAGCGGTGTAGTGCAGGGGCCTTCATAATTAGAGTAGGGTTTTGGGGGTATGTTAAACTGTACGTATGATAAGGCACCCCCAAAGATAATACCGGTAATTTTTCAGGCCCCTATAGTAGGGTAGTTCTCTAAATTGGGATCCCTGTTTTGGGCGTCCCCAATATACTACGGCACCCTTATAAAAAAGGGATCCGAAAAGGGACCCTAATTTAGAGAACTGCCCAAACTAGCGGGCTCCGACCTGTCAGTTTGCCGCCTCGGGTTTGGACCTCGGATCCCTGATGAGACTGCGCAAAGCATCACGACCCAAGCCTCTGCAGTGTTCCGATCCCAACGGTTGGTTTAGGGTCTACAAGAGGCAGCCCCGGTCAAACTTATTCTAGCACGGATCGTGAGCAACCCTAAAACCCTAAATTGTAAACCCTGGAGCCCTTATTATTATTATTGTTATTATTATTATTACTATTATTATATTATATATATAATAGTAATAACAATAATAATTATCATTATTATTATCATTACAATTACAACTACAACTACAACTACAATTATTATTACTATTACTATTACTATTACTGTTACTGTTACTGTTACTGTTACTGTTACTGTTACTGTTACTGTTACTGTTACTGTTACTGTTACTATTCCTATTCCTATTCCTATTCCTATTCCTATTCCTAGTACTATTACTATTTCTATTACTATTACTATTACTATTACGATTACTACTATTATTATTATATTAGTATTTCTACTTTTTTATTTAATATGTATATATATATATATTTACATTTACATTTATTGATTGACATATATTGATTGACATATATATATATGTATATATATATATATAGATCTGTATGTATATATATATGTGTGTATATATACATATATTCATTTATGTGTTTACTTCTTATTTCATTAGTATTAGACAAAGTTGTAAACATATAGTATCTGCATGACATACCATATCGTAAGCTGGCCTGGGAAGCGCCTCAGGAACTGCCGCTGCGGCAGCCAGGAACTCCGCGTAAGCCCCGTCCGGTGCTGGCATCCAGCCGGAAGCCTCGCAACTTTGTTGTGGGAGTATGTAAGGTTTAGGGTTTATAGGGTTTAGGGTTTAGGAGCTAGGGTTTAGGATTTTAGGGTTTAGGCTTTAGGGTGTAGGCTTTAGGGTTTCGGATTTTAGGGTTTAGGATTTTAGGGTTTAGGGCTCAGGCTTGGGATTTGTAAGCTCCAGAACTGCGGATCGAGGGCTTGGGGTTCCGGGCTTCGGTTTTCAAACTTTGGGCAGCGCTGCAGCAATACCGGAAGAATACGCCTTTGTGTCTGTCTGCGTGTCTGTCTCTGCATATATGTCTGTATGTATGTGTTTGTAAGTATCCACTTCTATGCACATACACATATGCATGTGACATCGCTGGTGCAAGAAATGCTAAGTACACCTGAGTAAACCCGTACATCCTGGACCCTAACCCCTCAACGGGAGCTTTTGATTCGTTTCAGCAGCCTGAGCCGTTTGGGTCGCCTGGCTCAGGTTCTACCTGGTTTGCCCAGAAAACATATAAAGAAACTATAACAAGGAACCCTTAAAAGGTAAGATTTGGGTGCGAGGTAGGGTTACGGTTCACGGCTTAGGATTTTGGGTCACCTCCTTGAAGCCCTTATGGAACCCTCCAGAACCTTTCAATTCCTACGTAGAACCCCCGAAAAAACTCAAGGACTCAAGGTCAAGGGTTCAGGGAACTAGGCGGCTAGAGCCTATACACTTCGGAGTCCTCAGCCCCTGCCTTATAGACGCCCTAGAAAGGCCACATACAAACCAATACAGTGCTGAAAAGCCAGGTAAAAACCCCAACGTAGTTCGCCACGGCCTCTTTTGGCTCCGAGGGAGCATCGGCTTCTCTTCGTGGTCCCGTCCCTGACCATCCGAGAGGATGGCTGGCACTGTCACCTAAGTTGCTCAGAGTTCCGGCTTAGGCTTTCGAGCTTAGGGTTGGCTTGGGCTTAACCCATAGGCCCCTAAGCAGTTCCTTTTTCAGGCTTAGATTTAGAATCCTATAAGGTAATCCCAAAAAGGAACTACTTAGGGCCTATGGGTGGGCTTACGGAGCCAAAAAGGGCTTAGGCTTTACGTCTTCTTAGGCTGCGGCTCACAGTGTCGAGCAGCAACGTCACCCAACAACGAAACTACATTATTAAGGTTTCTGGGTGGCTTTAAGGTTGTCACAGACCTTACCTACTGGGTACCTACTGCCTCTTGATCTTCGTTTTTTGCTATTGGGGTTTAGGGTTTAGGGCTGTTGCTTCTGCTTCGTTCGCTGAGTGAAGACAGGCAGCCGAACCCTGCGTTCATCATGGTGGGGTTCACACCCATGTGTCGCTTCCTTCTTGGAGCGGCATCGTCTCCACTGCCGCTGTCTTCATCGCCCTGGGAGCTAAGACTTTAGGATTTATGGCTGTACCTTGAAGTCAGGGCAGGACGTCGGCTTGCGGTTTCAGGAGTTTTGCAGGTCGATAAGAAGAGCTAGCAGCACCCCTACGGCGAAGACTTTAAGATATCATCACTTAGAGCTGAAGGGGCTGAAGGCCCTCTATTGCATCCACGCATTCGTAGCATCTACGGGAGTGACGGACACACAGTCACAGGGGCCATGTGTGGAGTCGTACAGAGGCATTAGCCCTTTGCATAGTTATTGGGTACACCCTAACAAAAGCCCTGGTAAAACCCTGGACCACAGTCGCCTCCGGGGCGGAACCCCGTCCAGGAGCCCTGCGCCGTCTCGGCGCCATAGCGCCGAGGGCTTTGAGGTAGGGTTTAGGGAACTTTGGGCGCTCGGGGCTTTAAGCAAATGCTCCGGGTTTCAGGGCGTAGGGTTCTGGGTCTTGGGGAGGACAGACACCCATGTCAACTTACGTACCATCTAGTCAGCTTGTGTTCCTTAAACCCTAAACTAGAAACCTTATAGCCTTATAGGAGACCCAAAACTTCCAAAACCCAGTAGCCTAGTATACCGGTAACCGGCCTTTTTTCGCATGTGTATGAGTATATATATATATATATATATATATCTCTCTCTGTCTCTCTCTCTCGCTCTCTCTCTGTCTCTCTCTATCTCTCTCTCTCTCTCTCTCGCTCTCTCTCTCTCTCTCTCTCTCTCTCTCTATCCATTTACTGCTATATGCGCTCCCAGATCATCATGAGAAACGGCTCCAAGGCTGTAGAGCTGTACGACTCGAGGAGACTTTGGGGTTCAAAGCCCTTGTCTTTGGGCTTTAGGGTTCAGTGTTTCGGGTTTAGGGACTAGGATTTAGGGTTTAGGGATGGGGGTTGAGGGTTCAGCGTTTCGGGTTTAGGGATAGGGGTTTGCGGTTTAGGGGGATGAGGGTTCCGTGTTTCGGGCTTAAGGATTTTCGGCCCCCTGTCAAGACAAGGTCCCCCGATGTATCTCGCCGATGATCGCCCAGATTCCGAGTTTGGGGGCCTGGGGCCTGGGATTCGGAGCCCTGGGCTGTACGCTGCTAGTCCATTTTAGGCCCAAAGAACTACACCACCTGCAAAACTAGGAATACACCCTGAACCCCCGCAGGCCACTCAAGTCGAACAGAACGCCCCCAAAGGGTTCTGGGATTGGGGTTGGAAAGTTTAGGGCTTAGGGTCTAGAGTTATAGAACTGCTGGATCTTCGGGATGACTTGGCCACGCGGGCAGCCCCACACTCTTTAGAATTCACATCCTGTGCCCTCGGAAAACCCTAAGCCCCAGGGCAGAAACCTCTGCCAAAACTGAATGCTAGAATCCCGAAATCATAAGCTCTCAGCCTCAACCCTAGAACCCGAAACCCTCGAACACCAGAAACCCTAAGCCCGAAACCCTAAAACCGCCCTAAACCCAAAACGACTTTGCAAAACTGCCTGCTCAGCATGTGCCTAAACCCTAAACCCCTAAACCCTAAACCCTAAACCCCTAAACCCCTAAACCCCTGAACCCCTAAACCCCTAAACCCCTAAACCCTAAACCCTTGTGTCCTTCACCACGGAGGAGCGTACTACGACAATCTCAGGCGAGACCCGACGCAGCGCCTCCAGCGGGCGGTGCAGGGCTTGGGGTTTAGGGCTTTAGGACTTTGGGGTTTTAGGGTTTTAGGGTTTTGGGGTTTTGGGAGTTTT